TTGAGCCAAGAAGTAATTTATGATATTTTTTTTAATAGTACAAAAATCCAAGTTTACTCACCAAGAACTATGAATGTTATAAAAGTATGTATTTCAATTATCAATCATATTCGTAATATGAAGTCAATTTGAAAATAGTATAAGGGAAATATATTGATTGTAAACATATTATAATAAATTACATACGTGTCACTGATGTTTTTGTGAAAATAGTCTTTCTTGTTCACTTGTTTGTGATTTACCAGAAGCATTTCAATAATAGTAATGCGTAATGTGTGAAGGTTTGCCTTTGAGTTTAACAGTTAAACAAAAAATTATGCAATTGATACACATCTGCTCGTAATAAGTTAATGAATTATTGATTCAACGAATAATTTGACGAAAATTTCGATTAAGTTAGATTCGGTTTTGAATAAATAGTAAAGGATATATTATTTACTTTTATCTTAATTGACAAATAAAGGCAATGGCTCACATTTCATCAATAGCACGAATCGCAAATTATTGGTACTTTTTTTGGGGGGGGGATGCTCTTTTCAACAAATAATCGGCATTCCCATATGAAACCAATTGTGCGTTTTTGTCCACTGGTTCCTTATTCATATGGGTAGTTTCGTAAAGGAGTTTCTCCGTTTCTCAGGAGTAATAAAAAGAAATCCGCATTTTGATTTTAATTTCACGTTCCGCTATATAGATGATGTCCTATCAATAATATCTGACAAATACAAAATCAACAAGTTCTGACTCATAAGAACACTTGAAATGTAATTATGACGTGATTATTGTGCATTCTTAACAACAACAAAAATACTAATTTTGACGAACATTTTCGGTAAATTTTAATACTTTTTGCTGCAAACAACATTGGCTACATGCATGGACCACATTAACTTTTCTTATGATGTGTATGTTCTGAAATATTGCTGATTAAATTCTCTCCATATACATGAACATTTGTATAGAAAGCGTTTAAAATCGGCGAAAATCGTTCTTTAATTTATCTTAAAATTTTCTAGTACATAGATAAAAAAAACTATATGTTGTTGATATATAAATTTCCGTTTTAATAATATAAAAGAATGATAGGGTCACCGACTTTGTTTTTGGTGTATTGACCAAACTGTAACATAGTTGGCAGTGAAAAACGTCAAAAATTGTTTTACGGCTTATAACGCGATGACGTTACACGTATTTCGACGTTTTGTAGTATTTAGTTCACATAGAACACAACTTTGAATGTGCATAGCGTAAAAACAAAGTCGGTGACCCTATCATTAATTTACATCAATAAAACGGGCATTTATGTATCAACAACAAATATTTTTTTAAGAAAAATCTATGTACAAGAAATTGGAGATTTAATGATTTTAACACCGCCACGTTCTGTATGTGCCTGTCCCAATTCAGGAGCCTGGTTGTCGTTTGTTGCTGTAAATCATATTTGTTTTTCGTTCATTATTTTGTACATAAATCAGAGTTATTTTTCTAGTTTGAATTGTTTTACATGTGTCATTTCGGGTCCTTTTATAGCTGACTATGCGGTATGGGATTAACTCATTGCAGTGCCTTTTATAGCTGACTATGCGGTATGGGATTAACTCATTGTTGAAGGCCGTACGGTGACCTAGAGTTGTAAATTTCTGCGTCATTTGGTCTCTTGTGGAGAGTTGTCTGATTAGCAATCATACCACATCTTTTTCCCTTTTTTATAATACAATTTGACACTATGCATACATAGCTAATAATAATCCGTTTCCTTGAATTTCCAGATTAAATCAATAATGTTAAGTGATTAGAATGTATTGTAACAATGAATATTGAAAGTAAAAATTACTAAATTATTAAGTACACAAGGAATGTTATGATGAAATGCAAAATAGTGAAAAATGTTATAGCTTGAAAATTTTCGGACTTTCACTTTTTATTTTTTCGGCTAAATCAAAAAGTCAATTAAAGGAACTTCAAATAAATGATACCTGAGATACAATTACGTCTGCATCATATATTGACTTACATCTGACAATAAGATTTAGTATAGAAGAAAAAGTTAACGACAAAAGGGATGATTCTAGCTTTCCAATTATGTACTTTCAATTTCAATTAAGCGACATTCCAACATCGCCTTCATATGGAGTATATATCTACAGGTTTCTACGATATCCAAGAGCTTGCGTTATGTTAACTTTGATATAGGGTTGCTGCTTACCAAAGATTCCAAGTGGGAAACTTGTAGTCATGAACGTTTTACGGACACCAACAAAAGTTAGTTGACCGTTATGGAATATCTGTGTCACAAATTACTACAGATAATTGTCTTTACCACAATCACGTCCTCTCTTTTTCGATTGTGACATCACCGAATGATACTAAAAATGAGCAACATGACGATCCCACATGTGGAGCAAGATCTACTTACCTTTCCGAAGCACCTGAAATCACTTTTGATTTTGTTGGGTTCTTGTAGTCTCAGTTTTCTATATAGTATTATGTGAACTTGTTTGTTTTTTTGTGTCTTTTTTTCGTTTATTGTTGGTGCCATGGCGTTGTCAGATTCTGTTCATCTTATGAGTTTCCAATGTCTGCTTGGCATCTTCCGTTTTTTTTCTGTTCAAGTTCCTTCTGGTTGAATCTTTCTTCAACAAGAAATCTATATCTTGAATAAAAAAATTAACACAATTGACCAAATTATGATATCAATATCTGCTGTAAAAAGATTCTAGTAATCGAAATATTACGTTCATAATAACCGGAGACCGCCCTGCAAACACATGGATATCGAGCCTTCTGAAAAATTAGAAGGAGTCAACGAAACATCCACGTTAATGAAAGGAAAACTAAACAAAGGAATGGAAAAGTGGTCCTGTTTATCATGCAGTTTTGTATATTGAGCCATGAGAAAATTCTTATATCAAAGTCTAAAATAGACATGGAATTAGTTATTAATAACGTTGGAGTCAGTACGACTAAATTTAGGTGGACAAATTATTTTTTTCAATTTTTCAATGATCTAATTCGTTTACAGATATTGTTTCGTCTAATGATCTTTATGTATTGTTTAGAATATCTATCAAATTGTGTTTCGCTGGTTCTTTCTGAAGTTCAGCCAGATACTGTGATTCAAAATAGTATTTGCTAAGCAATTATTGAACGGAACCATAAACTTTAATTAAAAAAAAGCAAATGGCGCAAACCATTTCATTAAATTTCAATTTAGTGTACTTTTGAATGTTTTATATTGAAAAGAGAATTGAAACGACCACAATAGATAAAGTTACATCCACATTTATCGAAATAACATTAAAAAGAAATTAAACAAATTCTGCTTCATGCGATCATATGATAGTGTAGTTTACAGAGTAACGATAACAGAACAGTCAGCGAAGAAAATTTGACATTCAAAGGAAAGTAGTTTATCCATAACTTCATGTATTATTCACTCAATAAAAAGATAATACTGCTATTATTATAAGCTTTGTCACAGATATTTAATATCTTTTTAGTCTTGAACAAGTTATAAAAAAAACAACACAGACAACACATTCGGCAAAATAAAAACATCGACCAAAAGACCTTCAAACAACAAAAAGTACACAGAAAACTAAAAATTGAGTAAGAAAACCCACCAAAAAGCTGGTATGAACTAAGATGTTCCTGAAAGATAAGCAGTTCTTACACCACATGTGACACCCGTGGTGTTGCTCTTATAAGTGAACCTCAAATTGTCGCAGGTTGTAGATCTAGGAGTGTTTTTTTCCATATCAACGCCGTGTGTGCTATTTTATTTTTAATAATGCGTTTCAACACAGCATTCGTTTAGTTTACAATTATTCTAGTCTATATATAAGATTGTATTATTATGCTATCAATGAATCCGAATAAAGTATAAGACATCATCAAACAGGTCTTATAATTTGACAACATATTAAGGTGAGAAATAAGAAATGCATATTAACTGACACCCAGGTATACTATAACACAGTCATACACGTACGATAGTATCCACTCAATTAGTTATAGACGACAAAACGACATTTACACATCTTTGCATAAACATTTAATTTGATATTTTGAAGACGTAAATTTAAGTTTTATGCAAAAACATACATACTGCAATACGACATTTTCTAAAAAATTTGAACAACACTTTGTAAATGTTATACGTCCTTAATAAAGGCAACAGTAGTAGCTGTTCAATAGTCATAAATCGATTAAGCGAAAAACAAATCCGGGTTACAAACTAAACAGAGGGAAACACATCAACTATAAGAGGAAAACAACGGAACAACAGAATCACTGAACTGCAACAAAAACAAACGCCAACATACATAGAAACGGACTATTTGATAACAACTGCCATATTCCGGACTTAGTACAGGACATTTTAAGAAAACAAATTTTCTTGGGTTGAACTTGGTTTTATGGCTAGCCAAACCTCCTGCTTATATGACAATGTTAAAAATACCGCTAAAATGACAACACTACGTGACAGGAATACAGGTCAAATAAACGCAAGAACACTCAGGACAGATAAATACATAAATAAATAATATAATAGTACATGACAACATGTAAACCGCAGCTTTTCTGGATTTACCTTCTTGGGGAACACTAAAATTTGAATGACAAGGATATATAAGAACAGGAACAGCAAACTGTTGAATAGCTATATGAACAAACAAAAAATAAAAGCCAAATCCATCTATGGCCAACTTTGCCTAAGTGAGATGAAACCTTAGTTTCTCAATCATTTATAAATTTATAAGGTATAAGGTTTCATTCATACTTTAACCGTTTGAAAATTTCCTGATTAAAAAAAAATTAATGAATGAATAACCTTCTAATTTGTTTGCATAAAGAAGGAGCGATCCGAAATCTTTGTGATAAGCTGTCCTATCCAAAGATCAATATTCAAGTGTTTGTCAAATATATTTTTAATTTAATATTTCACCAAAAAATAATAAAAAGCATTTATATTTGTTAACAATCCATTGAAAAAGATATCAGAGCAGTTCAGGACGTCGGTTTTAAAGACATAACGTTAACATGATTGAAGTACCGAGGGTTTTAAATTGTTCTTTTGCCACTCCATTATAATTAAAATTCTCACACTACTAACTGTCTGCAGTATTATACCCAATTATTATTATCAAAAATAATGCGAGTGTAGATATCACGATGAGGATCATATAAATATTGTAAAATACTTTGTCCATTATTTCTGATAGTTCCTTCCATGTAAGGTTTCGGGATTCTTCTTCATTTTCTGTCTCGATATCAGAGTGATTTGCCTTATCTGTAAGAGGTATGTCATCTGTCCTGGTTACATTTAAGTCCGATCCATTATGATTAACTTTGTTCCTCTTACAAGCCCAATTTTGTTTCCAACAAGCAAATTTTATTAAGTATGTTGATGTAAATTTCTTCACCCAGTCGGGGATTCTTTCGTCGTCTGTGCGCATGTGTAGATTTATCACAAATGTAGTTAAACACACAGCAATGGTAGCAAGTAACAATATGAAAGCAAGGTACATGGCTGAAAAGTGATGAACATCAAACATTAAACAGGCCATACAAATAAAAACAGGATATGTCTTTGTACTTTCATGGCGTATTATTTTTTAAATATGCATGCAAAAATCTAGTGACATACTTTCATGCTTGTGTCATCAGTAATATACATAATTGCCCGAGTGAAAAGAAGGCCATGTGTATGAGTAAATAAATACAGGTGGCGTTGCCATTGATGTCAAAACAGCTTGAGTCCGAATTCCGTTTGTGGAAACGATATGAATTTTGCAAGTGCAAATACGCAAATTTATATTACGATGTACTTGTCTCGCACTGGATTGAGTTTGTTCACTTTACTCTACAGAGCATTGGACCGTCATTTCATTGCTATACAACTTTGTGAAGGCAATCACAATGCATTGTTTTAACAAGGCAGCAGAATTTTCCTGGTCAGTACCGGTACCAGTTCTAAGTTATATATAAAAGTCTAAAGGTTTGCGCAACGATACTAATATAAAAGATGGTAATATATGAAGATGATGTTATAAAATCGTGTTGACAAATATTTCGGCTGAACAAATAGCCATCATTAGTGTCAATAAATTTAACAATACTAGTTGTTAATGTAAAATAGCCTGAGGTATGACAGGTAAATTTTGGACTATTGATTTAATCTAAAATATTGAATCTCATCAAACATAACAAAACTCAAGACGCCATAAACGTGGCTGCGTATCTATATATCCCAGATTGTCACAATACAGTAGATTGTATGAATGTATAAAAAATAGTAGAGCCCATCTATCAAACTGCTAGTACTTCATGCTGATGCCGTTTGGATGAAGTACATCCCTAAATTATTGCACACAAACATGTTTTAGCCATGCACATTCTTTATGTGTCTGTCCCAAGTCATGAGCCTATCAATCCATGGTCAGGTGTATGCTATTCAATGGTTGTCGTTGGACGCTGTCTGCCATATTTGTTTTTGTTTTATTGTTTTAGCGTAATTTGTCAAGCCGGGACTTTTTATAGGTTATTTAATGGTATGGGTATTGCTCATTTTTTAACGTTGTACACTGACCTATATTTGTTCACATCTTCGTCCTTTGGTCTCTGTTGGATAGTTGGGCAAATTGACAACTATACCACATCTACTTATTATAATATATAAGTTTTTTTTACTCCTGAAAATATCCAAGTCAGAGTCTTTCATTTCACCTTAAAAAGCCAGTATTACATATTTTAAGAGAACAAAGCGGACTTCTCCTTTTTTTAATTTGACTTGGAGTTCAGTAATTTTGTTATACGTTTTTGCTTTACTTACATAATAAACAGACAGTGACAGATGTACTGGGTATATTGTCCGAAATCAGCGTAAGATAAACTGCATAAGATAACAAAACGGTTAACGAAAATCCAATCTTTTCACCGGAATCAACTGGCAGTTTGAACACAAACGCTATCAGAATGGCCATCAGAGCTACTGGAAACAAAGTGTTAACAACATGAAACAGAAGACGTCGCTGAAGTCTGATCAAGAACGAAACTGAAGAGAACGCATCACCATCTCTGGTGTTTGCTTCCGATTTAAAACTTTCTGCAGAAAGTAGATTCCATTCCCCATTTACAGTATAAAAGCTTGTATCGACATTCTGCGCTTTGAAAAACAGTTCTATTTCAGCTTTAGTATATGCCCAAGCACTGATTTTCAAATAACATTCTTGTGTGTCCATAGGGTAATATTTGGTATCAGACTCGCAACTGACTTTGTATACACCAGCTGGGTTCCATATAACTCTACCATCTTGTGCTATTCTCATTGGCACTGACTTATCGCTGATTACAGATATCCCATCAACACTATATGAAATGATAAGAACGGAATACAGAAACAAATGAAATATTTACACTACAATAAGCAGCATGTTCATAAAAGGTGACCTTTAAAAACTGCGCACGAAGTAAAGATGGACGAATAAAAGAGAATGACAAGATTTAAGAAAACTATGTGAACTTTACTGGATAAGAAAACTTTATTTGATACGGTAAAGTTTATAATTGTTTTGTTTTCCTTTGTGCTTTTGTTATTTATTTTACCAATATTCTATTTAGGTATACAGCGTTCCCTTTGTATAGAAAATAACATTTTGTAAATTTGTTACGTCCAGAGCGCTTTTCTGGATTTACCTTCATCAAAATTGCCCCAACGAAAAAAATTGAAATCCAAGGATGTATAAATACCTGAACACGTGAATAACTACATATGACTATATGGAACCTTTAAAGCATGGTTTAATCGATCAAAGGTCAACTTTGCCTTAATAAGGAGTGAAACCTTTGTAGTTTCTTAATCATTTCTAATTTTATCAACGGAGAATTTTAGAAAGGTATGGTAAAAATCACGACAGTAGCGCAGCAAGTCCACTGATTGAGACTAAAAAAAAAGAAGATGCCAAAAATTAGTTTAACCCCGCCACATGTTCATGTACATTCCCTTAGTCAGGAACCAATATTGTCAGTTCTTTTTTATCATATCTTAAATGTATTCACATTTTCATCGATTCCGCGGGGTTTAGAGCTTGACATATTTTATATAGACCATAGTTCATCGTTTAGGACTATGTTGAGATCTGGATGTCCTTAGGTTGTAAGTATCTTTGGGTTGGTGTCTCATCGACGAATACCTTACATCTATTTCTATCTACTGGTATATTTAATCAAATCCTATCAATAAAATCATTCGACAGGTAAACACTTCTCAAACTAAATATATTGATATTATGGACCCGGTCTGAGTACATTATTTGGTATCATAATTAGCGACATAACAATACTTCTTCAAATCTTCATTGATTTTTAAAGATCTTCAAAACAGTGGAAGGAATAAAATTTTATTTGTTTCTTGTTTTATTTTAATTTTATGTTTAGCAAAATTCTTAGAAGCTTATTATAGTATATGATTTCACAGACCAATCTACGAGCTATATTAAAAAAAATCGGTGTGCATTTCAGTTATCCTTCACCATTTACAGTCTGAACCAAAAGTGTGGGAAACCAACGATGTTTAAAAACGTTTAGAGTTATATGGCAAAACGGTTTTTAAAAATTTAAAGTCAAAATCTAATACTTCAACGAAACTACAACTGAACGACACAATAAAATCCAAAAGATACTAGAGGTAAACATACTGTCTGGAACAAAACAAAAGTCTAAAAAATTATAATAAATTATAGAAAAAAAATATACACTTTTCCCTCATATTGGCAGAAAACGTTCTTATGACATCAAAAAAAGAAACATCATTTAAAAACACTTATGGATGTAGTCAGGTGAAATTAAACACATTTGATATTTAAAATTGAAACTATAAATCAGTTGAGCATTATTTAAAGAACAAAATAAGCTAAAAATATTGATAGGCTAAGGAACTCCTTTTCGAGATATTTTGATTTAAAAAAAATGGCGGGAAAAAAGGCTGACTCGGACTTTTAGCATTGGCATTATTTGGGTCTTAAATTGTAAGAAAAGAAATTCAGAATCTACTTAAATTTTGGTCATGACCTTTGATTAGCTATTTGAGTTTTCTATGGAAAGAAAAGTGGGCGATATGGGGCAAAATATTATACCCTTTATCGTAAAAAAATAACCCAAGGAGTCCGAAAATCTCTCAAAAATTCCTAAACCTGAAATGATTTCATCCTTGTTTAGGGGCCAGTTGAAGCCCGGCTACAGGTGCGGGCTTTTCTCGCTTTGTTGAAGACCCATTGGTGGCCTTGGGCAGTTGTCTGCTCTTTGGTCGGGTTGTTGTCTCTTTGACAAATCCCCCGTTTCCTTTCTCAATTTTATCCTTAACCATCTTAATTGATTATGAAAATCAACCAGAGTATTATACAGTTCCAAAAACATCTGTACTGGCTTACATTTATAAAAAAAGATATGAATAACGGTTACTGTATGAATGAAAATAATAAGTTGGTTTAACTGTTTTGTTACAGAAATGACGAAATTGAAAGTTAGAATATACGACAAAAGAGATGATTTCAATTTTGCAATAGCAAACTTCTCTTTTTTATATGACGAAGAACCTCTTGCAACAAGCTACTGTGTGCACAGTTTAATGCTCTTCAACTTCGTTCTTTATTTAGACTTTTTAATTTTTTGATTCGACCGTCACTGATGAGTCCTTTGTAGACGAAACGCGCGTCTGGCGTACAAAATATTAATCCTGGTATCTATGATGAGCTTATTCACGTCTGTCTTGTACTGTTTGCTAGAATAAGTTTAACTAAGCTGACTTAAATGAAACATTGCCTCAATTCAAAAAATACTTTTTCATAGAAACAGGAACCACAAACTTCGAACACGTTCTAAATATTTTTCATTCGCTATCCATATCTTATCTACAAATATAATGTTTCCTGTAGAACAAAATCAATATTGATATTTCTTACCCTACCTTTTTATTGTTATTGTGTTAATAAAAGTAAAACATCGAAAAATGATTTATTTATAACTCTGAAGTGCTAAAGTGTCATGGGCTTCAAAAGAGGTAAACACCAAAGGCGTGATCTACTTACTTATTCGGTTAGAATGTTTTTTTCGTCCCATGGTGTAAGTTTTAAATATTTACTGGCCCATCACAAGTACTTTAATTTTAATGGAGGCTTCGTGAGAACTATAAGGATTATTGTTTCTGATTTTTTGTCTTCTTATTAATTGTTTAACTACATGTATTGAAAACAATATCCTTAGTTCTTGAAACAAAAACTCTAGATCAAGATAGGACATCTTTAGCTACGTTGTTAAAAAGCTTAACATTGATTCTACATTTTAGTAAAAAGGTTAATTGATGCCATCTGACAAAAATTAACACAACAATGTGTCGTTAAGTAATAAATCTCAAACTAATGCTTAGTAGAGAGAAACTAATAATAATCTTCTATGGAAATTTTTTTTATAAATTAATGAAAATAGAGTTCAGAATTTGAAAACAATTTTAGCACGATCATTATAACAACTTGATATTAAGACTTAAAAAAAATACTCTCCCACTTTTTAGTTTTTACCAGACAAAACAGCAACTATCTATGTTGTCTATGTATGACAAACCAACGTTGTTCATATCAAAACTTCAACAAATGGAAAAATTGTAGATGAGCAATTGAACATACTCCTCAACAAAAACACATAGCTTAAATTGAACAACACAAGTGTTGGCTTGCTTCATCAAATACACAAAATACAGAAAAGATTTAATAAATTTCTACTTGTGTCACAATCCACTTATTTCCATGTTTTGTCGCAATTTATGATTTGATTGAATTCTTTTGAAGTCTTGTAAACTGTTTGTTCAAGTGACGACCACTTCTCATTGTCAACATTTATCATTTATTTAACCTATACATCCCACTATCACATTACCTTTTTTCAGATTTTTTTAAAGTAGTAATTCCATAATTCCTGTTTTGAATTGTATTGTAGATATTTGAAAATCTTCTGCAGTAGTTAACCTTGCATGACTAAACTTTTTGAAAGTTCAAAGATATTATTCCACCAAAATCCTTGATAACAATTTGTTTCGGTGATGAGGTATATCATTTAGTTAATTCAAATAGGTTTAAACTAATTCCCTTTTATATGAGATTTGTGTTTTGTTTTGTTAAGAATCGCAATCGGCGAAATGATTCAATAAATCATCATTTGTTCAATGTCTATGACTCTACCAAGTATTATTAATAGCAATCGCTCAAAGAGAACCACAAAATTCACTTTGAAGTCAAGTTTTATACATCATTAAAACAATTTGTATAGGGCCAGATATCCATTAACCTAGGAGGGGTTGAATACAAATAGTCAAATAATTTCAGTGAATCTGAAAAATGTGGTATTGGATATTGTTACCTTGGGGACATAAAGGAATTTAAGCCATCATGTATACTAAACGTTTAATACAACATACGATGTGGTGTACGATATCAGGGTATCCCAATCATCATTCCTTGAACATTTGAAAAAAAAATGAATATTTCTCTTTGCGGGTAAAGGCAACACAAAAATGAATTGGTCAATCAGAATCACGTGTTGATTCTTTTGACTTTGTAATTTTATTTTATGACAGAAGGATTTTTATAAAAGGACCTATAATACATTTTATGAGGAAGAAATTTCATTTTACAATTTCTTCAAGTTTTTCAGGAGGCAATTCTCAATCACAAAAGGAAGAAATTTCATTTTAAAATTTCTTCAAGTTTTTCAGAAGGCAGTTCTCAATGACAAAAAGGCATTGTGCTGCCTCACTTAATAAGAAAATCAAATCACTCACCCATTCTCTATAATAATTGATGGTCTCCAAACGTACTCTTCTGTTGCAAATAGAAATTTAATGTTTGAATAATCTTGCGATGTTTTGCTTGATTTATTCCAGACCAATCTGGTATCTTTCCAATCCTAAAAAGAAAAGACAGTCTATGGTATAAACTCAACAATGGTACTAGGAAATATTTTATCAATTTTATATTATAAGATTCCGGTCAATTGCTAAAATAAACAAACTGATGAAATTATGTCATGGTTATATACATGTTTCTACGTATATTGTATTCGATTATTTTAACATTATTGTGAATTAAAAACAAGAGTAACTATAACTATGTTTTCGTAGGTGCTCAATTAAACCGTATTTTGTTACACGGTCTGTATTTTTGAACACATCAAGATGTCAGCTGATTTTCATGTATTTGGGTTGATGTTTGATTGACGAATATTCATTAATCATACGCCATATTCTATGGAGAAAAATGTATTGCTTCTTTTATTGTGGTTTCACATGTACCCAATACAGTTGTAGGTAAAATTAATTAGGTATTTCCGAGGCGCTTAACTGACTTTAACTTAACCTTGAAGTGTTATTTGCATAGCATCCTCCGTTTTAATTAAATTCATCCAATTCATTTCTTTTTCCCTTAATTTTTGGGTTTCCTTTGCCCATTTTTTTCTAATCTATTTTTTTTGTCCATTATTCGCTATTCTGTAAACCTCGATCCATATTCCAAATTCTGTTTGATACCTTTGAACTGATAGAACAGATACACAAATATTTCTCAGTATAGACTTACCAAAGTCAAGTAACCAGATAATGACAATGTCTGATCTTTTATATTCTGAAATTTAGAGAAAAAAACCTGCATTTGTGTAAGTAAAGTCTCCAGTAGAATAAGTTTTAAAATGTTCATTCACAGAAAAGAAAAAAAATGCATGCTCTTATATAAGTTGATTATAAATTCCGCTTTTGATTGAAGAAAACAGTTGGTTAATGTAAATAGAACAGAATACAATTTAGCAGACATAAACATGTGGAGTACCACATGGAAATGTCCTTAATTTGTCTTAATTATGTCAACGACATGTTCATTAGAAATAGCCTAGACTGTAAACTTCTGCTGTATGTACTTGATAGTATTATTATACAGTCGAACCTCATTATGTCGAAGTCGAAGAGACCGGACCAAAGTATTCGACTTATCCGAAGTCGAGTATGTTGTCATAAATTTGGAATGCATGAAATACGGTATGAGATTTGTGTAAACTAGATACTTTGAACAGTTTGCCTTTTTCGATATGACACTTTATGATTGTGTATTGTATCTCCATATTTTATATTTTTTGTCTTTCATCATAATTAAACACACAAGTATAGATACAAATCATTCACAGATAAAATCAAGAGTATACACAAATATTTACAAAGGTCAGTCAATATAAATTATGAAATCACTTGCGGAACGAAACAAGTTCTGAATGGTCTCTGATGAGGTCGTCTGCTTCACATTAAATCATTATGAATTTATCATAATTGTTTTAATTCTTTTATTTATTATAATTGATTAATTTTAATTCTAACTATTCATTTAAACTTGGCTTGGGTCAATTAAATTCGTTTCGTTTTTATGTCAGATGAAATATGTTCAACACACTAACGTTCTGCTTGGACGATCAACAAAGGTGTTAATTACCGGTCACCATAAACATGTCATTTTAACTGTTGTACAAACAAGTATAATATTGAGAATGGAAATAGGGAATGTGTCAAAGAGACAACAACCCGACCAAAGAGCAGAAAACAGCTGAATGCTACCAATGGGTCTTCAACATAGCGAGAAAATCCCGCACCCAGAGGCGGGATTCAGCTGGCCTCTAAACAAAATTTTGTACTAGTTCAGTGAAAATGGACGTCATAATAAACTCCAAAACATATAAATGAACTAAAATTTAAAATTCTTCAAGACTAACAAAGGCCAGAGGCTCCTGACTTGGGACAGGTGCAAAAATGCGGCGGGGTTAAACAAATTTAGTGAGATCTCAACCCTCCCCTATACATCTAGACAATGCATAAAAAACAAACACACAGCAATACGCACAGTAACACTCAGTTTAAAAGAAGTCCGAGTCCGATGTCAGAATAGGTAACAAAAGAAACTAAGCAAAATGACAATGATACATAAATTAACAAAGGACTACTAGCAGTTACTGACATGCCAGCTCCAGACCTGAATTAAACTGATTGAAAGATTATGTCTTCATCATATGAAAATCAAGCACAATCCCTCCCGTTAGGGGTTTAGTATCATACCATCATAAAATATATGAGAAGAACATTACCCGTATCATGCCAACAACTGGTTTTCGAATAAATGTGTTTATTTCCGATGCAAAGACCCTATGAGTGAATCAGTATTAGTACAAAATATGCCATCTTTAATTACCTGACAACAGTATCGTAACTATATCCCTTCTGAATAAGTCTGTTTAAAGGTTTGGTTAGCTTTTTAGGTGAAGGCCGACATTTTTGTGCTTTATAAAGAATACTACCATAAAAGATTGGGTGTGAAATACATGAACGTATAAGATGTCTGCATGTTGATTTATATTTACGAATGATGCCCTTGTACTCAGCTTTAATTTCTTTTGAACATTATTAGGTTACATAAGAAATACATCCGATCTGAATTTTTATCATTAGGTCTGCATCTTTCGAAAATTCTTACTTTTGAACTTCGAGACATCGGGGTCAATTTACATTGATTTTACATCGACGGGACTATAAAATTTGCTCGACTTAACCGAGTATTCGAATCAACCGAGTTCGACTCATCAGAGGTAATTATGCATTGATCAGACGGGAATTTTACAGGAACCGAGAAATTACATCGACTCATCGAAGTTTTTGACATTACCGAGTTCGACACAACGAGGTTCGACTGTATTTCCCTATACGAATTATGAAATTTTAGCCCCACTTTAGTCGATTTACCGACAAATAATAGGTATTTTAATGAGGTCCAACCATGATCCTCTTGTATCCTTTTCCTGCTTAAAATTTCATTCTATGACTTAAATTTCTAAAGATCCAATAAGACACTACTTAATATTTTCACAATTTTAGCAGATATTACGTCTTCTCTTTTGACAATTAAGTTTTTTCCTAAAAATACCAATGAAATTAATGTTCATGAACTTACTCTTACTAAGGTCCTCTTAAGAAATTGTGTTTTTTTTCTCAGACCTTTTTATATGAAAACAAAATGTAAAATAACAATAATACCGAACTTTAAGGAAAATTCAAGTCGGAAAATCCCGTATCGAATGGCAAAATCAAAAGAACAAACATATCAAACGAATGGGAAACAACTGTCATGTTCCTGAATTGGTACTGGCATTTCCTTATGTAGAAAATGGTGGATTAAACCTGTTTTTATAGTTAGCTAAACCTAGCTAAACCTTATTGTTCATATAGCAGTAGTATAATATAGTAAAATCTATGTCACCCGGGATAATATTTCATTTCCTAGTGTTAATTTTTACTTTTCTTATTGATTGTATTCCGTTGATTTGTGTTTGTATTGACGTTTTAGATTTCATAGCTTGTAGTAAATTTAGTCTTAAAAACTTTTACAATAGGGATAAAAATATTATAAACTAATGAATATTTTCACTTATTCGAAATAAGTTTATCAGAAAAGGATAATTCACAACCATTTTTTTGTAGCATTATAAATAAAATTAAACAATTTTGTATTCAAATAATCTTTTTTTATTTTGCGGTCTTATTTTTAAAGATAATAATAAAACTATTGGATTTTTTTGTAATATATATTTTTATTTTCATATTCTCAAGTCTCATCTACAAATAAAGATGTAAAAAAAACTTTTGCAATAACTCATAAATATATGGTTAACCATAATTGTTATTATAGAATAATAAGTCAATAATACAGTAAAGAATACATCTTCTTAAGCTCTATTTCCATTAATAATATTATCAATATTTGACAATTTTTCTTTTCTTTTTATTGCTTTATTGTTCGACCACAAACTTATAGAGACCATGTCAATCCTATAATAATATCTAAGCCATTCAATTGCTTCAGAAACAGATGGGACTTTAAATTTAACTCGACATAAGTAAACATATCTCTTCAATATCAGAATACATGTATTAAGAATATCTTTAAATACAAGTTTATACTTGATAAAGTTGGGTGAATACTTATTTTACATACCTCTTCAAACTTTTGAAAAAAGTTTAGCCAGAACGTTCGAACATATTCTTTTATTTCTGTACAAAAAGTGCACAATTCTGTTTCACTATATTTACATTTCATAAGTAAAGTATTTGTTCCTAGAATTCTATGGAGTAATCTATATTGAAATGCCCGTAATGTGGGATCTTCAGTTATAAGTAAAGGAAGACTAAAATAGAAATTCCATTCTTCGGCCACGATATCGATTCCCAATTTTGTTTTCCATTTCTCTTGTATACAAGATGGGGTTTCATTTATTTTATCTAGAAAAATTTTATAGAAATGTTTTGATACTTTATCTACTGTTTTCATGGCGGTTACAATTTTGTGACAGACTGTACTTAGTTTGAAAAAGACTTGTGAATGAATAATTTTTTTTCCATTCCTTTGGAAGTGCATAGATTAGTCCGTAGAACTCTAGGAAAGTTGTTTCTATATTGTAGTTTCTAATAAATTCCTCAAAATTGTAAAATTCTTCATTTTCCTTTATGAGATCATTTATGAAAAATATATTTTTATTTATCCAACTATTATAAAAAGCTGTTCTCCCACCAATCATAATATTATCATTTAAAAACAATGGTTGAGACAAGATATCACTTGGGGCTGTGGACAGAGGTTCACACAGTGATCCCCATGATGAACTTACATTTTGCCAAAAAGGGTTGAATTCAATTTTAGTCTTCAAACCAGAGCAGGAGTAAAACAAGTCTATCTTATTCAGAGCACTGTTCAGAGATTCTTCACTATCCCCCAGGATCAAAGTTGAATCATCCGCATACTGGCTGAGAAAAATTCAGAATTTTTAATTTTTATACCATTAATGTTGTTGTCATATTTTATTGATGCACTAAGCAGTTCCAAACATAAAATAAAAAGGTAGGGAGACAGCGTGTCCCCTTGCCTTACCCCCTCTCTATTACAAAAAAATCAGATAGATAGTCATTATTTTGAATACAACTTTTTGAATTTTTGTATAGGGTTGTGAACCATTTCACTATTGTGTCACCAAAACCTAGAAATTTCAAAGTTTCGCATATAAAGTTCCACTCTAGAGCATCGAAAGCTTTTTCAAAATCCAACAAGATAAGCAAGCCAGGAATATCTTCCTCGTCTACTTTTTGTAATAGGTCATATATAAGACGTGTACACTCACCAATATATCTGCCTTTCATAAAACCAGTTTGAGTTTAATTAATCAGGTGATCAAGGACTTTTTTAATTATATTTGCAATACATGTTGATACTATTTTATAGTCTACATTAAGTAGTGAAATAGGTAGCCAATTTTTTAGAAAATGTTTGGGTTTACCATCTTTAGGTAGACAGGTGATAACTCCTTGTGTTTGTGAAATTGATAATTTACCTTCTTGAAATGCTTCTTTGAAAGAATGCAGCTGGAAAAAATTAATGTTGTGCCAAAATTTTTTATAAAACTCAGTGGTAAAACCATCCAAACCAGGAGATTTTCAATTTTTCATATTTTTTAATGCATTATGAATTTCTCAGCTTTTTAATTCCCCCTCTAACTCAATATTTTGTTCATCAAAGAGAATTTTGATAAATGGGTTTTCCAAAGAAAAGAAATTAGTCATGTGTAAATTATTTATAAATGTTTTCTTGGATGTATAAAGATTCTCATAATATAACTTTTGTTCTGCACGAATTTTTGCTTGATTAGTGATAGTTTCACCACTATCTAAAGTTAATTTTTGTATTAAATTTTCTATAAATACTTTCTTTTCTCTAGATTGCAAAGATATTTTGTACTTCTCTCTCCCTCAATTTGCCATTTTGCTTTTGCTCTCATAATTGCCCTTTATTCTAGATTCTCTTAATGACCTTAATAACAGAAGTTCAATACGAGTTATTTCTTCCCTTTTTTATTAACGTTTTCATTACTGTTCAATTTGTTCAGCTGAAGTTCTAATTCTCTTTCTTCCTTACTGCGTTCTTTTTTTTTAAAGATGAATAAGATATTGTTCACATGAGGTGATAAGTGGTTGAAAATCAGATGAGACAAGAAAGTAGTCCAGTCTAACTTGCTTCTTGTTAGGTCCTCTCTAGGAAAACCTTTTTTCTCTTGGTGTAATTCCCTATAAACATCAACCATATCTAATGTAAAGTATCCATATCATAATTTTGTGGTAAATTCCAATCAACCGCAACTATTACTGACGTGTTACCAAAATTTTCAATATCTCGTTCGAATATTTCATAAAAAACTGGTTTGTCCTCATTGGGTCATATACTACTGCTATAATATTGTCATTCTATGATTGAAAATTTTTATATCTAGAATTGCATAGTTCTCATCTTGATCCACTTTTTGCCCAAAAATTTCAAAAGAAAAAGTGCTTCTAAACAAGATAGCCACATCCCTACTGCTCGAGGTATGAGACTCAAATATTGTTTTATATCCCCATTCTGCTTGCCAATACTTTTCAAGTTCCTTTTTACAATGAGTATCTACCAAGAAAACCATATAATAATTTTCTCTTCATTTGCTTAATATATCTCTTCTTTTTATTTTATCAGAAGACAGGCCTCTACAATTTATGCATCCAATTTTCAAACTACCCATATTTCATATCACTTACAGTTGTGAAAGATATATGTACTAAAATTGTATAGTCAATAAACATATTCAGAGAAATATAAACAAATACAGTACAAATAAGCAGAGAGAAATGAAAGTGACATAAAAATTCTTTTTTCCAACCGTTCAAACAATAAAACTATTGTTGATGAATAATTATATCTTGTATTTTGTGGACGGATATCAATTTTCTTATTAGTAGTTTGAAACAAGAATTAATTGCTTCTTTTCTGTATAAAAATTCTCTACAAATTTGGTATGGCCGATGCTCAAGATCGTGTCACTATGCACTGTTCATGACGCTGAGGTATGAAATCTTCTTCGCAATATAGCCGCCGGCATTGCACTGTAGGACGGTAAGATTTCAATATCCAAAGGTTTTAAAAATACTTGAATATGAAAATTAGGAGATGTGGTATAAAAACCAATGAGAGAACTCTCCACCAGAGATCATTAAACCTAATAGTTTGTTTATCATGGTGACTCAATGTTTTCAGGAAAATCTAACACGGAAGCACTACATATTTCTTTGGCGAGGAAAATGTAATAAATGAGAGGAAATTCGACACTAAAATGCATTTTTACCAGAGAGTTAATATCTGAATTGATAAATTGCACAAATTCGCACCTAAAATATGTATGAATATAGGACACTGAAATACATCGAATATAAAAATAAAGTTATCAATAAGACGTTAAAGACTTAACGGAAGTAACCTATAATTTATAATCAATCAAAGTGAAGAAGTCTTCCAACATTTCAAAATAATAATTAACTCAAAATTAGTATTGGAAATAACGAATCAAAGAACATTTTCAGGGTAAAATATGATCTTGTTTTGATAAATAACGTTAAGACAAGGTTAACGTGCATAATATGAGGCAGGAGATACCAAAGTGACAATACAAGCCATAAGTCATCTTACGTTTATTCCGAATGAAAGGCCCTGTATCAAGTCTTCGTCTGTTAGAAATAAAAATGTTTCTTAACAATTTTAATTTGTATTGAGTCACTTTAAAGCTGTATCACCTTTCAATCTCAAATATTATTTGCCCTGCAATGCAGAAGGACATTATTAACCTCTTCGCCCCAAATCCCGCATGTAGTCGTGATGGCAACCACCATTCTTTGATGTCCCGTATGACCCTCCATACTTTTTTAGAACTGCCCCAGCTGAACTGTCTTGACAGCAGGGACTTCAACCATGCAATTCATGGTCCATAAACTCTTCTCAGATGTGTGATTATGAAAATATGGTAACTTTAATGGCCTTTTTAGAGTTCAAAATCGGGAAAACGTGAAAAGTAGCCAAAATCAGGTGGGGTGGGAGTTTTTTGATGGCCACGTTACTGGTATGGGCTGTAGGTTATTAACTATTATCATAAATACATGCATAGGTGGTACAGGAACACAAGGAGGTATAATACGGTCAAAATAAATCTGGTCTGTAAAATCTAGGTCACAGTTTTGTCAGAAATCTGTAAAAAACAGACATTTAGGCAGACCTGGCTTGCCAATAATAATTCCTCAGCAAGACACAAGTCACATGTACTTCCAGTCAGTATGGATGGACTGCTGTAACTATAAGGTAATACTTGAATGACAAAGAAACACAGTTTGGTCAATGTTCACCTCTCAATGCTGTATTAAAATCGAAAAATAGACTGAAAATGACCATTTTTCAGTAGGGGTGGGGTCAAACCCACCAGAAAATATACCAACTCCCACCCCAACCCCACCCATGCCACCCGCCCCCAAATCTCAATACATAGTTTAATAGATCAGCATCAGCTACAGCATCGAGAGTCTACTAATTTGCATATAATTTGCATATGTTTGCAAATTTTCGAAAATGCCTGATTTTCCAAAAATCTCTTGGGGTTGAATGAGTTAAACTAAAAAAAAAATTCCGATTTTCAACCTTAAAAGAGTGTTTTGGTCAGTTTTACACCCAAAAACGCCCCTATAACCCAACAGAAGTCAAAATTAACGATTTCGATAAAATACGTTTAAACTAAAAAAAAAAAACATTTTCCGATTTTCAACCTTAAAAGAGTGTTTTTGTGAGTTTTACACCCCAAAACGCCCCTAAAACCCAACAGAAGTAAAATTTGACGATTTCGATAAAATACGTTTAATCCCTTCGCCCACAATCCCGCCTGTAGTCGTGATAGCGCCCACCATTCTTTGGTGGCCCGTATGACCCTCCATACTTTTTTAGAACTGCCCCAGCTGAACTGTCTTGACAGCAGGGACTTCAACCATGCAATTCATGGTCCATAAACTCTTCTCAGATGTGTGTTTATGAAAAATTCCAGGTAAGAGGTTTTTGGACAATATGCTACCTTAACACATCTCCCTGTCATTATGTGATTAACAGTTATAGAATTGATCAAAGCTGAACCAACGAACTAAAATATCAATAATAAGTTATTGACAGAATCAAGTTGCAATAAATCTAGACCCCTTTTTTCAAATCAGTCATCTATTTTGTAATCAACTGGTTATCAATTGAAAAATCTTTGAGCAGTAATCCGAAATTTTTTATCAAACATAGGGGATTTATTTCAACAACAAAAATCCTCAGAAATGACATCAAAACATTTACTATATAGTTTATAATGAATGGCATACCAAGTCATTTACTGTTAAAAGATTGAACTTAATGGCAACTCGGACTTTTTGGCTTGGTCTTTGTTGAACTGTATAGTTAGTAAACATTTCAGTCCTGAGTCTCTCTTCTAGTTCAATACTATAATTCTGCTTAGGATGAAGAACAGTTGTCTGTACCACACCTGTAAATAATCATATTAATAAAAAATAACTATTTTTATAATGATACCCATACCTTTTAAAAATAAATAAATAAATAGAATAGAATGAAAATAAACTCTTTCTGTTATATATATATATAATATACATATAGACATTCTTACGAGGGCGCTGGATCGTTAAAATGGACGATGTTGTATACAATATATAAAATATATATATACACCAAGAAAGATCACTACATCGAATGTTACACGACATTTCTCCACTCGAGCCAGTTAAATTTTCAAATATAACTTTCGAGAGTGGAGAAATTTCATATTGCTCGAGATGTGGTGGTAGAATCTGTATCTGTAATGATTTTAAGACGATATGCAGATAGACTCAATCCTTTTTTTCCCAATGATCTGCAAAACATTAAATTTTGTTTTTTCTATGTCTTTTTAATTTGACGATAACGTCCATTATCCTACCGGTTTCACCTTCGATCATCAGTACGGTATACGAACAATATAAATACGTTTATAAGCATTCATTTTGATAACACACTCATATCGAAGTAAAAGATACATGAGAGTTATATAACGAGAACACTTACACCAGAAAATTACTTGTGTTCTATATTTAATTCTCCAAACAGGTATAATATAGGTGATAATGTAATTTGGCAAGAATTAGGAATACCAATGTAATGTTCTGTTACATTCAACTGTTTGAATATGAACAAATAAGTTCTTCGATAAAACAAACTAGATGTATTTGTCTCTTGAATAATTAATGTTTCATGTTCGATATTTGAAAGTTTACCATGATCACTGTAATGACATATCGTGATTAAACTATATACGTATTATCCCAATACACCTTTCCCATAACAATGTATTTGTATATCACATAATCAACTGAATATGTAAACTCTTGCTGCGTTTATTTGTTTATTCAAATTTTGAGATGAATATTTAATTACTGTTGTTCAATATCGAAAACCCAACACGACAGCTTTAAACAAGTTAAACATCCCACATTCAGAACTTATTTTATCAGGGATACTATTCCATAACCGCGGTTCTGATCGAGCTCGAAGTGCATAATTTGGTTAAGTCGTATATAGACATCTTTAATCTTCTTAATATACAAGTATGAAGATGTGGAATGATCGCAAATGAAACAACTATCCAACAGATTTCAAATGACGTGGATGTAAGCAATTATAGCATTATACTGACTTCAACAATGAGAGAAAAAAAATACCGGATAATCGGCTATATGAGGTACCGAAAAAATGTGAACATTCAAACAAGAGAACTACCGGTTGAATTTATAAAAAAAAATTTAACGAAAACCAAATCTAACAGACATTAATCGACGACAACCACTGAACTGTGTTCACACGTTAATATAGATGAGCTTGGGTTGACTTTCGGGATCGGTTTAGGGATTTTGACAACAGTAGTGTACCGATTTTTAAATCTCACGAAGCCATAACAAAGAAACGAATTAAGGTTACAAACAGAAACTATGCAAACATGACCCGCAATGCTAATCCACACTCAGTCAAAATGTCACAATCGAGAACAGACTATTGTGATATCTAAATATCTGAGACCACAAAAACATATCGCTAGTGAGTTGACAAACAGACGTATTCGCCGACCAATTCCTGATGATGGCCGTAAACAAAATAATGTAGGGACGATTTCAATTGTTCTTCCCCATAAATCTGTCGGAATACCCCTGTAGATAAGTCCGTAAATTTCCATATGCACGAGTATAACGTATATATTAAGATATACTAACCTATAAGATAAGGTAGAAGATTTTTTTCTGCTGACAAATGGGAATTTAAAATTGCAACTTAAAATAATTACATTTGTTAAAACTTGACGAATAAAAAAAATGAAACCACCAAATGGCCACCAAATTCTCTTTTAGTATATCTCAAGAGAATGTGTACTAATGAAACTCAAAAGAACATTTTGAATAAAATTCCCCGAGGTAAATTTTTTTTTAAGACAGATATGATTATGAACGGCAGAAATTAGATTGTCATTTTTTAAACAGGATGATTTATATAATTACTGATATACCGGTATATAACAAAAACTGTACTCACCAAGAAGAATAAAGTTTATAAAATAAGGTATTTCCATTATAAGTTATATCCATAATATGAAATCAACTTGACGAAAAATATTATTGAAAAGTTACTGTAAGTATATTGACAAAAATATACGTTCCAAGTTTGCTCAAATTATCAATAAGTTTATTTGTATTTAGTTTGTCAACCGCATTTCAATACGAAAACAAAATTTGTGTATATTTGAGTTTTAACCATACACAAAATAACCCTCTGATTCAATCCTGTTGCTAGATGAACAGATGGGTCACATAATATCATGTGGTTGATTTTCAACGGGAATGTTTTAACTACTAGTACTTTAGATATTAAGACCAAAATGACAAACTATGCGGACGATACGGTATACTTATATGATGCTAACAATGATTGTAGTCTATGAAATACAAAAATATAGTTTAAAAAAAAGTTTTGTCAGGAGAGTGTGGTCACATTGATAAGATAAAATTGAATTAAGGCAACAGTAGTTAACCGATATTCAAATGTCACAAATCGATTAAGAAGTAAAATATCAAAAATACCGAACTTCGAAAAAAATTCAAAACGGAAAGTCCCTAATCAAATGGCAAAATCAAAAGCTCAAACACATTAAACGAATGGATAACCTATAGGTATAACAACTAGGTACAGGCATTTTCTTATGTAGACGACACGATGAAATCGAATGAACTCCAAAATGAGTGACACCGTGTGCATCGAAAGGGTAAGCTACTGCTAGAGGTTTCCCGATTTGCTACCGTACCAACCGTAGTACGAACTGGGAGCCGTCATTGAACCTTTTAAAATAATGCATAAATGCCCTTAATTTCAACGTTTGTTTTATGAATCTTTACCAAAGGTATTTGGAGAATTTTTAGCTACAACTTGGTATAAATTTCATGTGGATATGTTCCCTATTCATAACAAACGTTATTGTGGGTACTCGATCATGTTTTTAACCAACCGTTGCAAGTAACCGTTGCACGAACGGTTTATAATCAAGATTCATTTCCTCTGAAATTGCACAGGGATAAAGAGGCTAGACATAAAGCATATTCATATTTTTATCTAATAATCGCATGTTTTATTAATATAACAGTATAGAATGAATTGGTTGGCATTTTTGGGGGTAGGCTTTTAGAAAACATGATAGAATAAGGGCTTTTTTAATATACAAAATTGACCTCATTTAAAATGTGTTAATGATACAGATAAATTCAAAACCTGTTCCGCTACGTAAGCTAGATCCTTTTAAAAACGCTAGTGTGAAAGGCAACTTACAGGATAAAAATACAAACTTTACTGAGCAAGTCTCTATGTATACATAATAATGTATGTCGTATTGGTGATCAGCAAACTTTTTCATCAAATAATTAGTATTAATTCTTTGCATTCCTTAATAGAGTTTGATATTGTAAGTTATTTTAGCAGTTCAAATTCATTATCTTTACCTTTCATATATTTTTCTGCATTTTCGCAAAAATCGTCATACACATGTATGAGAAATTTTACCAATAAAAGTAAGAAAAAAGGGTAAAATAAAAGATACGCTGATAAAATATTCAAAGAATGATATGCCAGTAAAATTTACTATAATTATATGACCATTATTCTAGTCTTATAAATTCAATGATTCAAGACATTAGTGTGTGTTTTTTTTTTCTTCATCGGCAACAGAAAAGTGAATACTTATTTTTCCATATATTTTCAGTTTACATTTTTAGAATGCATTTCTAGAAAAAAATCTTAAGTTGCTGATAAAAAAAATGAGAAGAGTGCCCTTTTCTCACTCAATATGAAATCTCAGCGTTTCTCATCATCTCAAGAAAAAATCTTCTGATGTAATGATCGAAATAGATTACTTAAAAACAAATATCTAATTTCAAAATCATGCAAGAACTAATTATAATATGAAATCAACACAATTTTAACACGTTAACGAATATAACCAACACCAGTAACACGTGTTTTAGAAAGTAGTTCATAAATATTATTTTAACCAGAAAATACCCGCGAAATATACTTTGGTTCATAATTTGAAGATATATAGTTTTGGTGTAAGGCGATATTAAGATCTTAAATCTTTTTGAAGCGTGTCAGAGACGAATTACCACCACTCAATATGACCCCCAGAAGAATAGAAATAGAAACTATTGAAAATTTTATGCTTTAATATATGAATGGGGGGTCACATTCCAGCCGCACTTCTGTACCCATTTTTAACCGAAAACCGAAGTAATTCCCCACCCTTTAGGGTAAACTTTTTTGCTGAGCAGACCATAATACTTGCAGACAAAGCGGAAATGATGACGGCACGTAAATTTTTGCTAATTTACCCAAAAATATTTCGCAGCTTGCTCCGTTCCGCAGAACAATATTTTTTGCACCCCCTAACATTAAATCCTGGATCCGCACCTGATTTCTGGTGTTTCCGTGCTCAGAACCACCCCCATATATGAGTGGGCTGAAAATTTTATGCATTAATATATGAATAGGGGTGGGTCACATTCCAGCCGCACTTCGGTACCCATTTTTAACCGAAAACTGAAGTAATCCCCCACCATTTTCATGTTGAATTGATGCAGATCCCCGGAAGGAAAAGCTCTTGACGTGTAATATGTTGTTAAATTGCTGAGAGCGTCAAGGGAATGTGTATCACAAAGTGTTTCAGTGTAAGGTCAATATTTACCGCATCTGCTACGAAATTAAATTTAATTTTGCTGGGCAGATGTGCAATGACGGAAATGATGACGGCACGTAAATTTCAGAGCCGAACGTCGTGAAGGACGTTCGATCCGAACTGGCTTATTTTCCGATTTTAATCCCAAATACCCCCCAAAAGATCTTGAAATGAACACATAATAAATACGCTGGTCATTACCCCTTTGTGGTATAAAACAATATTCGTGGATTGTATGTGAAAGAAAAAAACGCGACACCCAATTTCAAGTCTATTCATTTAGTAATGTAGATTATTCCAAATTTTGTTTATACATAAGAATCTTTTTCTTTCTATAAATAAACGAAACAAAACAATACATATAACAAACAGAAACGCAAATCTATATTTAGAATCTAAAGGACGTGTCAACTCAGTTTGTTTAAGGTCTGTTTGATTCATGTACTTGTGCACAACTAAAAAATTTCATAAAGAATCATAATCAAAGTGTTCTAGAAACGTTGAAATCGTTATCAAATAAACCGTTAAGCTAGTTTTTTGCTGAAATGCATTTCAATTCTTTTAATTCTATCATGATGAATTAAATAGTCTCATGCATTAAATGGTATCTCCAAAACAGCACTAACCGTTGAGTTACGTACCAACCGTACCTGATACGTATCGGGAAACCTCTGTTATGAGTCAAAATGTCACGATCTAATTGAACAGAGGTAATTAAAGATGTGTCATCAACACCAAATTCGTCAAATGACCAAAACATTAAAATATAACAAAAAGTAAAATAAAAAAGATACCGAACTCGAAGGAAAATTGAAATCGGAAAGTCCCTTATCAAACGGCAAAATCAAAAGCTCAAACTTATCAAACGAATTGAAAACAACTGTCATATTCCTGACTTGGTATAGGCATTTCTTTATGTAGAAAATGGTGGATTAAACCTGGTTTTATAGCTAGTTTATACTCTCACCTCACTGTATGACAGTCGCATAAAATTCCATTATATTGACAACAATATGTGAACAAAATAAAAAGACGTAATAGGTAAAAATGTCATAAATTGGGAAACAGCAGTCAACATTGTGTTATAATCTTAATCACTATAAAAACAAACAAATATGTCAACAAAGAAAAAGGCATATAGACAAAGCACATAAGCAAAAATGAAAGACAAGAATACAAAAAATGACCAAAACACAACAACACATTGGCGGGATGCATAAGTACCGAGCCACGCCAAAAGGATATTACCAAAAAATGTACTTAACAGTGAAGGTTAAAAATTTACAAAGACAAATAAAAGAACACTATAACACGTTGTTAAGGTGATAAACAACGTCAGTACCTATAATCGATATTTCAAGACCAATATGTATTATTTATGAAGTTGATAGGGAATATTTATCAACACTGCCTTAGTATCTTCCGATGAACTTTTCTAGAAAAAGGACGAGACGTTTTTTGACATAACCCTGCTTCATCAACTTTTTGCTCAGACATTGGTGACGTTTTATAAAGTTTTGGAAGCAGTTGCAAGCTCTTGGATACCGAATGAGAAGGGAAATGTATATCCTATATGCAGGTGTAAGTTGGTTTATTGCTACTAAGGTAGGAGAAATTGATAATTTCAAAATTAGTCTCGTTTGTCATAGATTTTGGTACTGAGATGACTGCTTATGTCAAATTCGAGGTATAAGTATAAAAATGAGGCGGAGGAAGCCGTATCTGTTGATTCTTTTTTTTTAGTTTTGAAGGATATATTAATGGAACCCAATCAGAAATGTTTGGATTGTTAATGGAAAAAACATCATCAATATATCTGAATGCGAAATTAAATTATCTGGCTTCTTTGATCTTCTTTTTTTTTGGTAGTCCGACTCATATGAAAATAAGAAGAGGTCGGCAAGGAGAGGCACACAGTTCGTTCCCATAGGAATGCCGACAATTTGTTGAAAAAGTCTATCGCCAAATTCAACAAATATGTTGTTAATAAGAACATCTAGCATACTGATCACGTTTTCCTCTGTGTAGCATGTTTTACCTTTTTGTTCACTATTAAGAAAATATGCCGTATGATATCCCAAAGTAATAAATTTATAGCGTATGCTACCATTTCTATATTGAAAAGCATTGTGGATTATTTTTTTTATACGATTTTCAATTTCACATGGGGAATGGTGGTATATAGGGTTGAAAAATCAAAACTTTTGATAGAATTAATTCAGATCGAGATTTAAAATTATCCAGAAGTTCTTTAGAGTTTTTTTTTAAATCCACAAAAGATAACTACTGACTGCATCCAAGGCTCAATCATTAGTGTCTGAAGTGAGCTTTTTTCATTTCATTGGTTGTTTTTT